GCCGGGCGGCAGCGCCCGCCCCGCGCGCCAGACCCCACCCTCCGGCCGGCCTCGCGCCGCCTCTGCGAACAAACTTCGAGGCCAACTCGCCCGAGGCCCGTTTGCGGGTGTCCATCAATCCTATGTCTCTTCCACTTCGCAGGCATCAACTAGAGACGGGGCCCAGATGCGACAGATCCCCTGTTCCAGAGTCTCGGAACTGGCTCCGGGACCAGGCCGCAAGCCCCTGTTGTGCTGGACAGTGTGCACAGCCCCCCTGTACTTCAGTGTCCAGCAGCCCCGGCACTGTGGAGCGGAGAGGCGGGTACCTGGCCTGCTGAGTCTGGAAGCCTGAGGGTCTATTCAGTCAGGACTCAGTCCTGGAGGAGGATAGGCATGGGGGCAGTTGTTGTGTAACTGACCCATAGCTGACCCTCCAGGGGATTTTCAAATGCAGTAAACAAAGAGGAGACTGCCTATCCTATTCCTTGATGGACTTTGTGTGCCTTTTGGAATTGCAGCACAGCTTCTTGTCAGCTCCCTAGGAATAGTTAGGTGTGGAGTCATAGTGACCCTATAAACAATAGATCTGAACCCTGTCCTATCCTGTGCCATCCTCACATTCTGACACACACAGCCTATTGCTGCAGTCATTTTCAGTCCATCTTGATAAAGGTCTTCCTCTCTTTTGCTGACCATCTACCCTTGCAAGCATGATATCCTTTTCCAAGGAATAGCCTCTCGTAGCAACTTGTGCAAAGCATGAGAGCCAAAGCTTTGCCATCATCCTTCAAGGGGCACTTCAGCTGCTACTTTTCTAAGACATACTTGTTTGTTCTTTAGACAGTTCATGGGTCTTCAAGACCACAACTCAAAGGAATAGATTTTGTCATTCTTCTTCATCTTTCAGCTCTCAAATGCATTGCAAGTAATTGGAAAGAGTAGGATGTGTGAACACGTGGAGGTGAAAGCAGCATTTGATCTTGGAAAGTACACCTAGAGTAAAAGGTATTAAAGGGTAAGTAGGAATTAGGTTCCATCTGAGGGTGTACTGAGTGGTGTCTGCACTTAATACAAGGGTGTGCATCAGGTGGGTGGGTGACAGAGCAGTGACTAGATGTGGAGGGGCAAGACCAAGGCGGGCAGGGCCTGGGAGCCCCAGAGGAGGCAAAAACCTTCTGCATCTGGTGAGAGGGGTGTCCAGCTTTGCCTGATCCTCTGTAGGCAGACCCAATGGGGGAGGGGGCTCTCAGGGCAAGGCAAGCTTCCTACTTGGTTGACAGATACCTCCCTGAAGAGGAAAGGGCACCCATAGAATTTGGAGGGAAGACGGGAGGTGGGGACTTGGAAAAGGTGTTCTCCAGAACCCACTCCTGAAAGGACACTGGCTGGTAGAGGGTGGATGGGAAGGAGGTGATGTAAGGCCCAGTGGGGCTGGCTGAAGATCAGGAACAGGCATATCTGGGTTGGTTCCACTGATACAGCCTCAACCAGGGCAGTGCCTTCACAGTGACAAGAGGATCATCTGCTCTGGCCACAGGTCATCTATGTGGCTGCAGTGTCCACCCCAATGACTTCTGGCCTGCTCCCAGTCTGAGAGGTGCTGACCCCTGGCTGAGGAGATGCTTGCCTCAGTCCTGAGTCCATTCAAATTCTTTTTGTCCAGCTCTGTGGAAGGCTCCATCCACATCTTGGGACAATGCCCCTACACCTGCCACACGGGTAAAGGTGTTTGTAAAGGTGTCTGTAAAGGTGCTAAATCCCCTTACCCATCTTCCATCTGTATGGGAACCTGAGGTGACCTTTTCAACTGCCCTGAGCCCAGGACTGTTCTCAGCTTCGACTCACTCATTCCACAGCCCCACATGTCCCTCATACTCCAGCAATGTGGTAGGAGGCCTCTCTGTATGAGAGGTTAAGTCTGGAGAAAGGTGGGCCAGCCTTAGACCAGGCCAGTCTCTAGGAAGGACTGCAGTCCCACAGCCTCTAGACCAGATGGCTTCACAGATGGCCACCTTCGGCAAGCACAAAGGCAGGAGCCTGAGCACCTGCCCCAGCTAGGGTCCAAGGCAGGAGGAGGTGGGGATGCAGCTGGCCTCTGGCTCACCAGTAACTAGGCTGCTGCCCTTCTCTACCTTCCTCCTCGTGGGGTCCTGTGGCTCCTCAGGGGTTCTGGGGCAGAGTACACCAGCAGATATGGCACACTGGACACTATCCCTCTGGTGCTCCACTCCCGAAGGAGCTAACCTGGCCAGTGAGGCCAAGTGTCAGAGGGAGTGCTGAGCCTGAGACCTGCTAGGCTGGGTCCCAACTGGGCCCATGTCCCTACATCCCTACCTTGGGAAAGAAGGCAATGTGACAGTCTTGTCCAAACATGAGGGACCTTCTACAGCCCACAGTGGGTGTCCAGGTGCACGTGCTGTCATATGGGCCCTTTCCTCAGGACACTGGCGGGGAAGCCTGGGTGGGTAACGGCAGGCCATCTCTTCTCATTTCTCTGCCCTGTTGCTGTTCATGAGCCCATTCATTGCCCTGTCTTCAGAAACCTAGCATGCTGGGTGGGTTCCCACTTTGTGGCTGTCCCCACACAATGCTGAGACCACCAGGGGAGACCACATTGCAGGGATTTGCACTGGCTGAAGGTGTCACCCCACAGTACTGGCAGGAGGGCAGCTGGATGCCCACTGGGTTCATCTGCAGGCAGAGAAGCAGTGGCGGGTGATGACTGGGAGGTGTTTGGGTGAGAGGCAGTGAGGTAGGTGTGGCCCAGATGGTCAGCTTGGAGAAGCAAGGTTGGTATGAGACACCCACCAGAGTCGAGGGACAGGTCATGTGTGCTGGGCCTAATTGTGCAGGAAGCATGGGTGAAAGCTGTGTCTGATGCCTCTGTGTAGATGTGGTACCTAAGGGGTACTTGATGAGGCTGGAGACAATGCGAGTTAATTCCACCCGCCTTGCCCAGCTAGGAAGCACTGGGACCAGCCTCCTGTTTGGCCATCCTGTCACACCCTGGTCATTGTAACTCCTTTGAGGTGCTGTGTCTTGACCCTGGCTGTGGCTTTATAGTGGGGCCAAGTTTTCGAATGAAGCGGCTTTCCCTCACAGGGATGCTGCCCACTGCCCATATAGGCAAGTTGGTGTCAGGTGACACACCAGAGGTTTACAATGCTCCCCGCTCCCAGTGCAACTAGATATCCATCTGCTGCCAGTATCATACCATCAGGCTGACCAGGGCAGCTGTGCAGGAAATCTGCTGCCACCTTGGATGGAAGTGGGGCTGTGGCCACGGAAAACATCACCATTTACAGGATGCTTTATTTCATTTCTCAACACCATGGGGTTTTCCCCATGTTGAACCAATGCTCCAGAAAACCATCCATGTTCTTCTCCCTCCCAGGCCCTCTGCCACAGGGCTGCTGGGGGGAAAAGCTGCTCCCCACTGTTCAGAAGCCCCTGCTCAATCTTACACCAACAGTAAGAGGCTCCCCGCTGGTCCCCAGATCCCCTAACAGTGAAGGACGGTGTCTCAGCATAGCAAGGACTGGAACAAGGGGCAATTGGGGGCTGGGCCAAGACAGCTGAAGACGGTGAACCCTGTCACACAGAGGGGCGGCCAGCTCATAAACAAGGACCAAGTACTCCCAAGTGCTCCCACTGTAACATAACACACGGCAGCATGGCACAGCCCTGCAGGCCTGTGGAAGGCTGGCAAGGGCCAACTTGAGGACAGGGTAGCAGGGTAAGTGAGCTGCAGGCGCTAAAGACCCTGAACCCTGAACTGGGTGTCCTGGCCCAGGTGCCCTGCTGCCCCACCCTGGCGTGCCCTCCAGACTGGGCACAGGGGCCTGGGTCTAGTCCTCACTGGAATTGTCAAACTCCTCCCAGTCAGACACACTCATCACTTCAGAGGCGAAGTCGGGGTCGGCCTGGCTCCGGTCTTGGTTCCAGTCAGGGGTCCCGCGGGGTGCCTCAAGCAGCAGGGCGCGGGGCAGGGTGAGCACACAGGCAGCCAGCCCCGAGATGGAGTTGTCCAGCTGCGGGCCCTCCTCCCAGCAGTCCTTCTCGGCATCGTAGATGTGCACGTAGCCTGTGCGGCTACCGCGGTTGTGGGAGCGGCCTCCCAGCACGTAGATCCTGTTGTCCAGTACAGCCATACCAGGCTCACCATGGCCAGCTGGCAGTGGACAGACCGATGACCACTGCCCAGATGCGCAGCTGAAGCAGGCCACCTGAAAGGTAAGGCTGGCTGATGGTCACAACTCGCTAGCAGCTGAGAGGTGAACAGGGCCTTGGGCGAAATCAGCACGCTTGGAAAACATTCAAGTCTGGTCCCCTGGCCAGGCAGTTGCACACATCCCTGACCCAAGTAGTGCTGCTCCTGGGCCCCTTCAGGAATGAGACTGAGCAATCTACACCAAGAGCCATGTTTTGTTCACTGGAGCTCTAGTGGCCAAGTGGTACAGCAATCCCAAAGGCACATGGTTCAAATCCACCAGATGCTGTGGGGGAATCTCCTCCCATGCCATCCATTTATTGCCTCTGAAAACCTGCTAGAGGTACAGCTATAGGTCAGTTCTGACTCGGTGACACACAACAACCACCGAGAATCAGAAGTATCTTTATGATGCTGTCTTCACTTCTGGTGCTCTAGCTATGGCAGAACAATGCCTCTGAGATACATTGCTGCCCAAACCCCTGGTACCTCTAAGTGGATGACCTCCACACTGTGAGGGCACAGCAGAGGGGAAGCTATAGTGGGCTGCCAGAATGGGCACATCTAATATAGGAGCCCACAGAGGGGGCACGAGAGGCAGGATAGACATGGGATGAGGAGATACCAGCATCTACCTGACAGCTGCTGAGGAAGGCCTCAGCCTCTAGCACCCAGTTACATGGCCACAAGGCCCTGAATTCTGCCACAAAATCTAAGCAGCAAGGAAAGAGTCCCCTAGGATGTAGTTGATCCCAGCCCATGAGCCCTGTTACCAGGGAGTGATCCACAGAGCTGGGAGCGCAATCTCGTGATGTTTTAAGCCACTGAGTTGTGACAATAGCAGCAGAACACTCATTTAAAAAAAAACAAAAAAAAACAACACAAAAAACTTTTTAAAAGCCCATGTTGTTAAACGAGCAGCTATTCCTTTTTCATTTCTAACAAGCAGTGGTGATGGAAGGGACTTAATAGCAATGGCTTTTAAGCCAGGGTTTGGAGAAAGGATATGCCCAAAGATACCCATTTGTAGATGGAAAGAAAACAAGCAACTGTGGAATAGAGAAAATGTGCTTCTGGTCCCCCTGACTACCTACCTGGACCCCATGTCAGCTCACCTGGTGCACATCCCTCCTGTAGCCAGCGTCATTGTTGCTGCCTCCGATGACGTACAGCTTGTTGAGGAGCGTGGCCATGCCATGCCAGGCCCTGCGCACCGGCCCATCTGCCAGGCTGTGCCAGGAATTGCTGCCGGAATCATAGCAGTGGGTCTCCCTCAGGTAGTCCTCCCCTCTGCGGCCACAGGTGATGTACATCTTGCCCTCTAGTGCCACACCTGCATGGGCATACACCTGCGAAGCACCGTGTTGTTGTTGGTGGGTGCTGTCAAGCACAACGCATAGTGACCCTGTGAACAACAACACCTGAGCCCTGTCCTATCCTGTGGCATCCTCACCACCTGACATGCTCAAGTCCCCTGCTGCAGTCACTGTGTCAGTCCACCTGGTAGGGTTTTCATCTCCATATGCAGGAGATGACAAGGGGAGCCAGACAGCAGAGCCAAGGCCCTCTGAGTCAAGACTGGCCACAATCCTATAAGGTGCCTACTACTTTGCATTGGCAACCCAAAGGTTCAAATCCACCAGCTGCTCTGTGGGAGAAAGATGGGCACTCTCCTCCCGTGTGATTTATGGCCTCTGAAAACCCACTGGAGGGTCAGCTATGGGTAGGTTCCAACTTGTCAGCACACACAGCAGCAGCCTTGGATTTTACCAGCTTCCTGACCCCAGAGACCCAGCCCCCATCTGACAGAGTGCTCTCTGGTTTCTTCCTGGCCATACTGTCCTACTCACCGACACATTACTTCCTCCCACCACAGGACAAATCCATAAACATGGAGATCAACTCTGAGCCCTTACAAGGGAAAGATCAAATCTCACCTTTCCTTTGCTCCTGAAAAATTTGCATGGGTGGGAACTCAAAACACTGTGCATTCTCATGAGACTAAGCCATAGAAGAAGGCACTGCTGTTCTGGGACCTTCAGGTACCTCTTCCTGCCAGATTCCTGGGGACCTACCAACTGTGGAGGCCTGCTGACTCCAATCTCAAAAATCTATCTTCGAATGATAGTAAACAACAGGAAATTCATGATATGCAAGAAAAAAGTGTCAGACAAGATGAAAACATACCCTCAGGTACTTTTATAATTTTGCTGCTCAGTAATTCATGCATTTCCAACCTCACTTGGTAGGGCATGCCCTCAGGCCTCACTCCACCCCCAAATGACACCAACAATATTCAGTCCACATCACGTGGGAAGCCTTAAGGGGTGGACAGGGCTGAGGACAAAGCAGAAGCAGGGCATACACCAAGAGGCTCCTCTCCTATCAATGATCAAGAGTGGCTATAGTTGTTAAATAATATACATTATTTGCCATTTTACTTGGGAAGTTATTGGGTTGTCCTTTTTTTAAAAAAAAAACCTTTTGAGACAATTATAAAGGTCAATGTAGTTATAAAAAAAAACAAGTGTTATTCTACCCTTCTTTCCTTGTCCCCATAGTGATTATATCTTGCATAAGAAAAGTACATCAGTACAAAAAGGATGCTGACACTGATGCAGTCAAGGTACAGCCTGGTGAATGGCTACAGGAACCCCATGTGTGGCCACACTCTCTTCTGTGTCACTTCCCTGGCAACCACTAACCTGTTGTTTCTGGAATTTTGTCTTGTTGAGAGTGCTACATTAATAAAATCATATAGCAAATAACCTTGGGATTGGCCTTTTACACAGATTACTCGGGTTTTATCTGTTGTCATTGTTAAGTACTGTTATGTAGACCAGATGTTTACTCTGCTTAAAAGCAAAACTGCCAAACTCTTTTCCAGAGTAACTACAACTTTATACATTCCCAGGATCTAGCTTCTATACACCTCGTGAGTATTTAGTGTTTTCATAATTTGGCACAGGACGGCAGGATTTTCAGATTTATTGTTCCTAGTGTGGAAGTGAGTTGTACTTGACAGCATCAAACAACAACAACAACAGTAATTCTGATAGAAATTTAGTGATAATCCATTATGGTTTTAATTTGCATTTCCCTAAGAGCTACTGAGATTAAACATATTCTCATGTGCTTATTTGATATCTATATATTATATGTTCCTCTAAAGTTCATAGGATTTTCAGAGACCTGTTATTTAAGAAGTAGATGGCCAATGCTGCTTTCCTAGGTATCTTTAATCTGAGAGCACTACTAAAACCTGTCCACCACAGGTAACCCTTATGGCATTTTAGCACACCAGTGATATAGCTTTCATTATCACAGCAACCTACAAGTTATCTCAGTACAGCAAACTGACAGGTTAAGTGCTGTACCAATTAGAACAATGTATTCCCTAAATCCAAACAAGCTGAAAATTTAGTTTTTAACATTAATTAATAGCAAATTTGTCTTCATACCAGACCCAACCAACTTCTAATAACAAAAGCCTGCCCACCGGGTGCGAAGTGGTTTAAACAAGAGTCTTCTAGCCCATAAATGCTGGTTAACTAAATAAAAATGACCAAATAGCTAAAAAACCCAATGTGGATAGTTGTAGTAGTAGTGGTAGAGCCCAGACTAGAAGTCAGTCAAAATGAGGAAAAAATAGTGGCCAATATTTAATAACTGCAATGTGGAATGTATGTAGCTTGAATACTGGACACTAGAAATTGTGAAAAATGAAATGGAACACATGAACATACTGGCATTAGTGAGAGGAGATAGACTAGCTTTGATCACTTTGAATTAGACAACCATATGGTATACTATGCTGGGAATGAAGAATAGAAAAAGAATGGTGTTACATGCATAGTAAAAGAGCCGATTTCAAGTTCCATCCTGAAATACAATGTTTTGAGTGACAGGATCATTATCCATACAAGGAAGACCTGTTAACACGATTATTATTCAAACATACGCGCCTACATCTACAGCCAAAGAGGAAGAAACAGAGAATTTTTACCAAATCCTGCATTCCAAAATTGACCAAACATGCAATCAAGATGCATAAATGATAACTGCAATGCAAAAGCTGGAAATGGTGAAGAAGGAATGGTTGTGAGAAAATAGGGGCTTGGTGATAGAAATGAGGCTGGAAACAGAATGACTGAATTTTGTATTTTCAGTTATTTATTCATTGCAAATAGCTTTTTTAAAAGACACAAATGGTGACTTTATACATGGACCTCACCTGATGGGCTGCATAGGAATGAAACGGACTACATCTGTGGAAGAAATTGTTAGAGATTTAATATTAGCAGTCAAAACTAGGTCAGGGACAGACTGTGAGTCAGACCATTAATTACTCATGTGCAGGTTCAAACTGAAGCCAAAGAAAGTTAAAATATGTCTACAAGAGCCAAGATATGATCTTGAGTCTACTCCACCTGAATTTCAAGATCATCTTATGAATAGATTTTGAGGCACCAATGACTGAAGACTAGATATTATCCATGAAGAAAGTAAAATGTTATTACAAAGACAGAGAAGAAAGAAAAAAACAGAAATGGATGTTAGAAGAGACTCCAAAAAATTGCACTAGAATGTTGAGAAGCCAAAATGAAGGGAAAACATAACAAAGTAAAAGAGCTAAACAGGTTTCAAAGGGCAACTCAAGAGGACAAAGCAAGTTATTATCAAGGAATGTGCAGAGAGCTGGAATTGGAGAACAGAAAGGGAAGAACTTGTTTTGCATTTCTCAAGCTGACAGAACTGAAAAACTTAAGCCTCCAGTAGCAATAACGAAAGATGCTATGGGCAATATATTGAATGACCTAGGAAGCATCAAAAGAAGATGGAGGGAATACACAGAATCACTGTAGAAAAAAGAACTGCTGACTGACATTGAAAAATTTCAGGAAGTACCATATGAGCAGGCTTCAACAGTAATGAAGGAGAAAGTTGAAGCTGCATTAAAGGGATTGGCAAAAAATAAGGCCCAGGTATCAATGGGATATTTTAGTTAACAGATGTAGCTCTGAATGCACTCACAAGTGTATGCCAGGAAATTTGAAGGATATCTATCTAGCTAACAGATTGGAAGAGGTCCATATTCAGGTATACAAACTTTTTAAGTATATCAATCTAAAAAAATATAAAAAAAAAATAGAAGGAATACAGAGTCACTGTACCAAAAAAACTTGGTTGACACTCTAATACTTTAGGGAGTAATATATGACCAAGAGCCCGTGGTAATAAAGGAAGTGGTTCAAACTGGACTGAAGGCACTGGCAAAACATAAGGCCCAGGAATTGATGGGACACCAATTGAAATGTTTCAACTAACAGATGCAGCCCTGGACATGTTCACCAGTCTGTGCTAGAAAATCTGGAAGGCAGCTGGCTGGCTAACTGACTAGAAGATTTCCATATTTGTTCTTATTCCCAAAAAGGTAATCCAACAGAATGTGGAAATAATCACACACTGTCTTAATACCACACACAAACAAAATATTGCTGACAATCATACAAAAAGAAAAGAGTACACTGACAGATAAATACCAGAAGTTCAGGCTGGGTTTAGAAAAGGCCAGGGCACCAGATATACAATTGCTGACATCAGACAGATCCTGGAGAAAAGTAGAAAATATCAGAAGAATGTCTATATGTGCGTTTCTTACTATGCAAAGACATTTGACTATGAGGATCACAACAAATTATGGATAGCATTAAGAATGGGAATCACAGGGGAGCTCTGGTGGCCTAGTGGCCAGAAGCTGTACTGCAATCCCAGAGGTACACGGTTCAAATCCACCAGATGCTCCGCCAGAGAAGAAGGGACAATTTCCTCCTGTACCTGTCAGATCTGATCTGACGGTACATGCACACAAAAAAATAAATAATAATAATAAAGAATGGGAATCACAGAATACTTAACTGTGCTCATGTGAAACCTAGACAAAGAAGCTATTGTCACAATAGAGTAAGGGAACACTGGATGGCTTAAAATTAAGGAAAATGTGCCTCAGGGCTGTATCATTTCTCCTTATCTATTCAATCTGTATGTCCAGCAAATAATTTATAAACTGGACTCTATGAAGAAGAATGTAGCATCAGGATCAGAGGAAGACTCATCAATAGCCTGTGTTATGCAGGTAACACAATTTTACTTACTTGATGACAGTGAGGTGGACTTGAAGCATATGCTGATGATAATATGATTATAGCCTTCAATGTGGACTGCATTTCAACATCAAGAAACCAAAAATCTTCACCAAGGGACCAATAGAAACATCATGATAGATGGATAAAGACTGAAATTATTAACAATTTCACCTTACTTGGAACCACAATCAACACCCTTGTTCCAGCAGTCAGGTCTCCTAATGGAGACATTGCATTGAGAAAACCTACTGCCTGGGACCTCTCGAAATTATTAAAGACCAATGCCAGTTTGAAGACTAAGGTACATCCAATTTAGGCCATGGTCCTCTCGATCACTTGCTATGTATCTGGGAGCTGAACAATGGAAAGGATGACAGGAGGAGAAGTGGTGCCTTTGAGTTGTGGTGCTGAAAAAATTTCTGACTATCTCAGGGACTGTCAAAAGAACAAACCAGTTATGTCTTGGGGAATGTACAACCGGAGTGTTCCTTGGAAACAAGAATAGCGAAGCTTCATCTCATATACTTTGGGCATGTTGCTAGGAAAGGGACATGATGCTTGGAAAGGTGGAAATTCAGTGCAAAGACAAATATTCTCAATGAGACAGACTGACACAGTGACTGCAGCAATGGATTCAAGAGTATCAGAGACAACAGGAACAGTACAGGATAGGACAGGGTTCTGATCTGTTGTTCAGAGAGTCACTCTGAGTTGTACTCTACTCAACGGCACCTAATAACAACATTATCTAAAAGCTTTTGCCTTTTTTTTTTAATGTTTTGTGCATGTACCATCAAATCAGATCTGACCGGTACAGGAGATTGTCCCTCCTTCTCCAGCAGAGCATCTGGTGGATTTGAACCATGCACCTCTGGGATTGCAGTGCAGCTTCTTGCCACTAGGCCACCAGAGCTCCCTAAGCTTCTGCCTTTTGAACCTGCCTCGTTCCTCACCCTGTCCCTGCAGAAATTAAGCTTTCTGTTTCCCCTTTCCTGGTGGCCGCACCCTAACAGAAATTGTGGTTCTGCTTTGTTTTTATATCACAGTTGCATCAGACTTTCCTTCACATGACCCTTGGTCAGCAGTTGCCTGGTGATTAGGAGTGCTATCCACAGAGACAAGCAATGAGTGACTGCTGAACAGAGGTGAGAAGGGCGATCATTTAGCAACATACAGAATTTTATTTTAAAAAGTAACAACCTGAGTCGATTGACATTTCTACATTGCCAGCTTCATCAAATTTAAGTCTGAGGTATTTGAGGCAGTCAGATAAACCAGGAATGGTACCAGTGTCATTCCTTGGGTTCTAGGTTCCCTCGGTAGCCTGCCTTCTCTCTACTTTTCAGGGTCTTCTGAAGTTTCTTTTAAGGGTTTTAAGTTTACTTAACAGAGGAAAAAGGAAAAGGACATACATTCCACTTCCCTGAAAACAGAAGTTGTTTTAAATGAGAAAGGAGTCTGGGCAGAAGGCAACATTAAGCTTCAGGTCACTGACTAAAGCCTTCAGCCTGCTGCTGGGTTAGGGGTTCACCGCTTGCTAGGATTGTAGTGACCGGAGTAGGTGCCTGAAGCATGCTGACATATACCCTTCCTGATTTATTATTATTATTATTATTATTATTTTGTGTGTGTTTACCATCAAATTGGATCTGACTGGTACAGGAGGAGACTGTCCCTCATTCTCCAGCAGAGCATCTGGTGGATTTGAACTGTGTGCCTTCGGGATTGCAGTACAGCTTCTTACCACTAGGCCACCAGAGCTCCCCAGAACTCCTTTTACCCTTCCTGATTTTTAACAGGTTATCAGCCTGTTCCATTCAAATGACTGCTTCTTGGTCTAGCTACAGGTTTTACATGAGCAAAATTAAGTATTGTGCATTTTCTGAAAGCACAAGGAAGAATTCAAGATACTAAAGAGTTGAACAGAAGATTCCAAAGGGCAGCACGGGATGACAAAGCAAAATATTACACTGAAATGTGCAAGGAGCTGGAGCCAGAAAATCAAAAGGACTAAACTCACTCAGCATATCTTAAGCTCAAGGAACTGAAGAACAAATTTAAACCTCGAGTTGCTATAATCAAGGATGCTTTAGGCAGAATATTTAATGATCCAGGAAGTATTAAAAGAAGATGGAAAGAATATACTGAGTCACTGTA